GGGGGTGACGCATTATCGCAAGTGGCTGGCCATACCTACGAGATCTGTCACGAGTTTAACTTCGCAGCTGCAAGGTTAATCGCGCACCCCGGCAATAAGACAAGCCGCGAATTGATTGAAGACTGGGCCTCGGATGGCAACTCAGTCAATCGATTTATCGATCTGGTGCCGGCACAAATCGCACTGCACAGGCATCTCCAGTCGGCCTTTCGGTCTATAATATATGGTGCCTATTTTTTGACAATAGTTGGCGTTCTTTGCAGGATAGCCTCGATTTATAAACAAACATTCATTTGGAATAACATGCCATTTTCTGCGGTGAATTTGTATATTTTCAAACTACTGCTTAACCTGCATGTCCAAAATGACGCGGATATCCCCCTGATGCATAAGTGGATTAGCGTGAGATGCAGTGGCTCGTTTCATGCATGGCTAAACAAAATGTAAAACTGCGTTTATGCTATGTTATGATTATGTTAGGACGGCCCAGCACGCAAGTCATCACTCTGGCGGTCCTGAGGACAAGCTAAGAAAGAAAGACCACACGCCAGCGGGTGAATGCAGAACGGACCAAGAGGGTGACATTAAAGGGCCGACAGCTATGCGCACGCGTGACACAGTCAACGGGCTGTCACACTGAGGTCACCGCACGATAACCATTAGCAGAGGGGCCAATAGGGAACAAAGATGGCTAGCTGCGAACAGAAGGGCATTCTGTCGTGGGCGAGGCAAAATTCAGCTGCTTGTGACACAGGACTCTGTTGTCGAGACCTGCTTTTGGCATAGACGATAACGACGACAGAATGCACGCTGCTGACGGACACAAGACAAACTGTCGGACACAGAGGAAGGACACAGAGTTGATGTACAAACAGAAACAGTGACAGTAAACACTATTATCTGCTATCCTGTCTGTCTTCTTTTCCTAACACACAACTGGGGGATATAACCAGTGTTGACGCTGGCACTCCCAAGGTTTTAACAGACTACTTAAGTACAATTGCAATGGCAAAGGCAGTTTAAGTAGTGGACTTCATTTATCCTTGGTTCCAGAAATTTTTTCCTATGGCAACGGTGGTTATAGGGACTTTTGGCGTGAAGAAATAGGATAGGCAGTGTAAGAACTTTGTAGAAGTAACTGGAAAGGGGAAACATTTAGTCAAATTTGTTTCCCACGGTGGTTGGGCGTAAGTTGTTCCGCATGCAAATTGATGGTGTGCGCGACTACACTTAGCTAACTCAAGAACGGTGAACTGGACCTCATGTAAGTTGAAGTAGACGACCTCCTAACCGCCATTTCTATTTTCAGGAATTTTGAAAAATCTGCATTTTGATACTCGGGTTTTTCCGCGATACGTTAAAAAATAATACAGCTTAGGAAAATCTACCGATATAAATCAACATCATTTCTAATTACCATAAAATAAGAATGCATATAGCATTTATTAAAATATATTCCGCTGCCTATCCTGCTGGAGCTAGGAGTATATAAGGTGCACTACTTAAACTACTGTTGCTATTTTAATACTTATTATCTTAAAGCACAATGCCACCACACACTAGATGCCCTATCTCATGAAATGTCAAAAGAAATTCTGATATGTGCTTTCGAGTTTTGTAGGATCAATCACCTTTCGGGTTAATCTCAAGATATTTCAGCCACGCCGGTAGGTTAGCTTTCGGTCGAGATCTTTTCTGACCGCTTTCAACACGCATTTTATTTAAAACATGGCTTCTAAATTAATATGCATTTTTTCGCATTGATTTTTTTCCTGCACTTGTAAATTCAAATATATATTTTGAAGAAAACGCACCAAGCATATTCTTTCTTCTATCCAGTTGGCAGGAAACTAGGTCTGTTTCAAAGTTTATGATTCCTGAAAGGGTATCTTCCGGTTTTAAACGAAAGTTTTCTACGTTGCCGAATAATTGTGAGCACAAACGGCCGTTTCATTCGAATTCAAGGTTTCCAGCATGCATGCTGTAAAAATATTGTCGAAGGAAAAGTACATATTTCCCTAACAGATGAGTAAAGGGTGAACTAATTCGTATACCATTTTGCAATGGATGTGGATAGATAATACCAATAAATCGACGGATACTATTTAGTGTGAATAAACATTTTACGATAGGAAGAATAAAAAAAATAAATGGTAGCTTTTCTTCAAAATATAAAGTCTGAAGAAGGCATAATTTCGTATCAAACGAGTACAAGGACGAAAATATTTTTGCATGCCTTATATAAACACCTCTGATTTAATGAGGTCGGTGAAAAACAATGGCCAAAAATCCCCACTCCCTAAGTATTAATTCTTTTTACATAATATAGAGTACGCGCCAGAATTCATGCAAAATGCCGACATATGCGAAATATTGATAATCTTTCCCTAAAGGGTATTGACTCAGGTTGTGATACTGATTATCGTGTAGTCTATTCTGAAGTTTATTCCGTCATGACAGGATGCGAGCGTTTTAATGAGCTTCGTTCTGACCACTAACAAAACGTATCTACTGTGAAAAGCAACTACATATATAGTATGCGTATTAATCATTGATTTTAACTGCCTTTGTAAATTTAAATATATTTTATGGAAAACATAAATGACAAAATTAGCTTTTGTACTCGTTCGGTAGCAAATTACGCCGTCTTTCAACTTTATAATTCAAGAAAGGGTATCTTTCGGTTTTAAAAACTTCTTATTATGAGCTTTTTTCCGATCGTAAGGTGTTCCTTCATAATACATCGTATCCACCAATTTATTAATTCCGCCTATAATATATGCAGCCTGTTCCACATCTGTTGCAACATTTTATAAGAACTTTGTGACCTCTTCCTTAAACCGCAGGCGAACACGTACTTTTCCTTAAACGGGAGGTACTCAGCGCGCATAGTGTAAGCTTTGAATTCAAGTGTCGCAGTCAGTAGGTTTAAAAATTATTGGTTTATTTAGAAACTTTTTAAAACCGAAAGACACAATTTTGTTTAATATAAAAGTGAAAGAAGGCCTAATTTTCTACCAATCGACTACAAAAAATTTTTTCGTTGATGTTTGCCATAAAATGTATTTGAACTTACAAAGGCAGTCAAAATGAATGATAAATATGCATACTATTTGAGTAGTTACCTCTTACGATAAATGCGTTTTGTTAGCGGTCAGGAAGAAGCTCGTTAAAAAGCCGGTATCCTATTTTCAAGGAAATGACTTCAGAATAGACTACACGATAATCAGTATTACAACCTGAGTCAACGCCGATTAGCGAAAGAGTATCAGTCTTTCGCATATATCGGCATGTTGCACGAATTCTGGCACGTACTGTATCTGAATTAATAAGGTCGCTGAAAAACAATGTCAAAAAATCCCATTCCCTAAGTTATCATTTTTTAGAATAATATACTTTGTGCAGGCATCCTGGCGTGACTGAAATAAGTGGAGATTAGGCCGCACAATAATTCAGTTTACATTTACATTTATTTAATAGGGAATCTACTGTGTTGCAGGCAAAAAATGGCTTTTCGGCCATCCGAAGAAATTTCACTTGACAAAAACTAAGCACTCCATTATTGTCCATTTTCGCATAGATTGGCAGTGCCCTTGTGGCGGACGGCCTCAATGCCTGTCCCCCCACCCCCTTCCTGCG